CCAATTCCCATAAGGACCCCATAAAGTCCCCATATCCCCATTCCCCATAATGACCCCATAATGACCCCATAAAGTCCCCAATCCCATAACGACCCCATAAGGTCCCCATCCCCTCCATCCCATAATAACCCCACAACGCCCCCAAACCTCCCCCCTCCCCCCCCCGTTTTTTTCCCGCGCTCCCCGCAGTGGGCGGTGTCAAAAAAAAACAGGAGGGGGGGCGTGGCTTCACACGCCCCGCCCACTCCCCCTCCCATTGGACCCGCCCACTCCCCGCCCATTGGCTCCGCCCCCCGCCTGTCTCCATGGCAGCTGCGGCTCTGACCGCCGCGCCGCGCGCTGATTGGCTGCGGGGGGCGCGCCTATGGCTGCACGTGGGGAGGTGGGGGGGAGGGAGGTGGGGGGGTTTTAGGGGGGTTATGGAGTGCCAACGGGTGGGGGGGGGCTATAGGGGAATACGGGGACGTATAGAGCGCCTATGGGGGGGCCTATAGGGGGATGCGGGGGGCTGGGAGTGTTTATGGAGGGATATAGGGTGACTATAGGGGGGATAGAGAGCGCCTATGGGGTGCTATGGGGTATCTATAGGGGCAAATAGGGGGATATAGGGACATATAGGATGCTTATGGGGCGCTATGGGGTGCCTATAGGGATATGAGGAGATAGAGACTGCCTATAGGGTATCTATAGGGCCAAATAGGGGGATATAGGGACATATAGAATGATTATGGGGCGCTATAGGGTGCCTATAGGGATCCGAGGAGATAGAGACTGCCTATAGGGTATCTATAGGGCCAAATAAGGGGATATAGGGACATATAGGATGCTTATGGGGCGCTATGGGGTGCCTATAGGGATATGAAGAGATAGAGAGTGCCTATAGGGTATCTATAGGGTCAAATAGCGGGATACAGGAACATATAGGATGCTTATGGGGCGCTATAGGGTGCCTATAGGGATATGAGGAGATAGAGACTGCCTATAGGGTATCTATAGGGCCA